GGCATGCAGGTGCGCCATCCTACCATGTAATGTGTGCATCGCCGCTGGGCGCCCCCGTCGGCACCACGAAGCTGGCGACCCTGCGACCTGAGCAGGGTATGGCCTCGAAGGCATAGCTGACGGGGAGGAAGTCTGGATTGTCGAATTGGAGGGTGGCCCCGCACCGTCGATCCAGCGCGTCCTCCACACTAGAAGCCGCGGTTAGCAACAGAGCAACAGACCATGCCACCCACACCACGACCACGCCATACGAGCGAGCAGCATCGCGCCAACGGCCACACCAACAGCATCATTCGCTGCATGCTGCATCACTCGCTGCGTGCCGCATCACACCCGGCAACGCTCCACGCGAATGGACCAACGTACTCGGCAGACACCACCGACCGACCGGCCTCGAGGGCGACGACGGGACTCGACATGCAGATGCAGGGGCCGTTGTGCAGGGCCAGCACGCCGGCGTGGACGAGAGGGAAAAGGAGGAGGAACTTCATCGTCTTGGTGTGGGGGGGCCTTCGGTCTTGGGCACTGGGTTGTGGGTGGCACCGGCTTGTGGCAGGTTGTGAGAAGTGCAAGCGTCTCCTCCTTTGCCGCCGCCGCGACAGGCGACGGTCGCCCTGCGAGCTAAATAGCAAGGGCAACTGGCGGCCGTCCCATGTTGCATGTTCGTTGTCGGTCATAAGCCAGAGTTGATTGTGGGCGAGGCATGTCCCACCATGGATCCGGGACGCAGGCCGCTAATGGCCGGACGTCAATTGCCGGACGTCAGTTGTCAGATGGCAATTATCAGACGTCAAAAGTCAAATCGCGCACCGCGGCGGATGCGCCAGGTACGGGGCCCTCTGCACCAGATAAGCGCCAGTTGGGTCGGACATGCATTCCAACTACACGCCGTCCCGCCAGACACACACCAACCCCGCCAAACACCGCAGGACGACGTCTCGCCGAAGTCTGCGTTCTATGACCCCAGCAGGTCGTATAAGACGAAGGTGTCCGCGGTGGCCAGACGCCACGCGGTATGCCTCTGAACTACCTACACCTGTTAGATGCCAGATCACCGCCAGAACCAGATCACTAGTCGGATACCGGATACATCTCCCAGATATACATCCTCGTCATGTCCCAGACGAGCCACTGGCCGGAATACATGCGTCTCGAAGAGGCCGTCCAACGCGAAGACGATCTTTTGGGCCACTTCTCGCCGATTCCATCAATCTGTCCTCTGTCCCGTCTACCTACTCGCATGGCCAGGACGATGTGTTCCTCGATTTGGACCCAGAAACAGCCGCCCTGTTCCATCCCGCCCCTATCGACCTGCCCGACCTGGACTTCACCCTGCCAACATGCCCGTCCACCCCGGTCAATGCCGTCGCTCCTTCCTCACCCCTCTCCATGTCGGCTGCCATGGCGAGGAACGGCGGCGCATGCCCCCGGTGTGGGGCCCACCGAAGGTGTGTTGCAACCGCGACTGGTCGCCATCCCTGTCATCGCCCCCTGCTTGCCCGACTAACCTGAATTGATTCTAGCCAAGGTCGGACAGACGGCAAAGGATGGGCAGACTTCGACACGCGGCTGGTTCGCATGGAGGCTACTATGAACGACACAGTGTCGACTCTGGCCCGCATGGAGGCCACCATGAATGAGACTGCGTCCGCCTTCCAGAGCCTGCTGCCTCGTGCCTACGGCGCAATGCAGAACCTGATCGACATTACCATACTGTTTGACGAGAGTATGGAGAAACTGAAGCGGTCCATGGGCTTGTTCACGCGGGGCATTGTCGAGCATTTCTTTGGGGACGCGACCTTGGCTGACGCGGAGACATTCAACTCATGTGATCCGTAGCCCCTGCGGCCAGGACAGCGAGGACGTGGAAGGATGTCTTGGGGATGGGCTGAGTATGGGCAAACAGGTTCGGGCGTGGCTGGCAACCTAATTTGAGATTGAGCTTCTCGCCTTTCACCCCCGCACTCGTTGGTACCAACACGGACAGGATGGACACGACGGCAGACGACGTCCTCACATTGTCGGCTGTTGGACGCTTGAGCTACCCCGGGCCTTTGCCACACGACCTCAGGGTTAACCATCCTCCCACTTCGATGTCCGTCCTTTCGGCGCGCTCAGGCAATGCTCGCGAAAACGCTGTTGTTTGTCTCGACTTTGGTCCTTTCATGCTTAGTTCGCGTCATCCAGCAGAGCAGGCCTGAGTGGATTGCTATCGTGCTTCTTGGATTCGTGACTCTCACACCCGTCGCCATCATCGCTACCCACTGCCATCGACGTCCGTATGCCATCTTTGCCGTACGGTATTTCACTAACGTCCTGCCAGCAAATACCGTACTGCCAGCCGGACGCGACCTTCACTTCACGCGATGAATGCACACGATGAACGCACACGATCAGAGGACAACTTCAATGCGCTGTGTAGGTATTGCATTCCTCCTGGGGTGCCATGCTACGACGCAGCGATCAATCTACCCGCGTGTCACTCTACACTACACTACTCGATCCGCACATCAAGCGTCCAAACGGACCGGCCGATTCATCGCCACACCACTCTCTCGGGTCACGATATTCATTCAGTCGTACCGGCCCCGTCGTCGCGACGTAGGCGCCTGGGCAGAGTACCGCGACGAGGAAGCATAGCTCTCGCGTCGGCTGGACCGACGTGACCGCGGTTCTTCATATGGTCTGTCAAGGTCCGGCAGCAGAGTCTTGTCTTTGTCCAGACTAGCGTGCATCAGCCGCTGCTGTAACTAGATTGCCAATGTACTTACAACTTTGCCATTGCATAGGCAACAGCGAGCGCAACTGTCATCTTTCCCAGGGCCATGATGTGTTGAGTCCACGTATCTGGTCGTGATGCACGCCTTTCTTGCGTAAGCGTAAGCGTAGGCTAATTGTTTGTTGGCGAAGATGCGTTGGCGCATCAAGTGCTTTGGGAGTGATGGCGGGTGCGCTTATATGTGAACGTTGCGAGGCAGACACCAGCCTTCTAAATGCAACATCAGGCGCGGCCAAGGGACCGGCGCTTTGCTGTCGCTTATCCTCCGTTGGCGTCGTTCCAGTCACGAGCCATACCAAGATTTGTATCGAAAGTTGGTCGCTTGATGTGGGTTTCGGTCGATCAGATCGCGCTTGTGGGGCGAAATGCAATGTCACTGTTCAAACTTCGGATTGACGATCCTGTTGCGGCATGCGCCAACGGCTGGCCGGGGGTCTCTCTCTCACGACGGCACGTTCATCGCAGCCCATTTCTACCCATGTGTTCGTCGATACGGTATGTTTTGCAGCACAGCTTGGTTTGCACATCAGGCTTTCTCGTCCACTTTATCAGTGTTGTCCCATCGTAGGCGTCATGACAGATTCTCTTGACCGATACGTGGTTGGCGTCGTCTGGATGCACCAGTCGCTGGTCCAACGTCCACTACCAGGGGATCCACATAATTGGACAAAGACTGAAGATCCTCGTGATGTCCAGAAGCTCGTCAACTATTTCAACGACGTCGGAGCAGACAGGGTTCGATTGCGTGCCGCCGAGTTCCAGGTTTGGGGCCGCATCGCGGGGGAGGCCCTGGAGCAACTCACTGCGTCTTTACAGGTGTCCGAATCCGCCTTACGGGAGACCGTTACCAACGGGAAGCATCTGCATCTACGTGGCGATTTTTGAATACAATGTTTCGGCAACGGGCATCTCCTGGACGTCGCAGCCACATGGTCTAACGACGAATGCTGGCCCGTTCGTCTGCACTGCTTTGATCTCGGTCTGAAACCCTGGTCGAGTGAGAACGATAATCTAACCAGTAACAGATCCTACCCATCTACGACAATATTATGAGAAACTAGTTAGCCAATCATGCCTGGGTCTTCCCCCTACCGATGGCGAGATTTGCCAGCATGTGTTGAAGTATTGGCACCTGGGGAAACCCCTTCTCCGCAAAGCCTGGGAGGCCCAGATTCGGACCAAGCCAAAACGCAAATGTTTGGCCGCTTTGTTTGGACACTGTGCTACAGTCGACGCATTGGTCAAGTTAATTCCCTTCGAGGGTCTGTGGCCAGAGCTGAAGCTAGGTAACTGGCAGAAGATCAGTGCGGCCCGTTGTGACGAGATGGTGGCGATGTACCTCAATTCGGATGCATCAAGTATGGGAAGAGATTCTCGGGGGCGGGACACACCTACCACCGCTCCGCGACCTGCAGTCCGTCAGGCTTCTCCAAGGCAGAGCACCATGCGCCAGCACTGACGACCGCGACTTTATTCAGCGAAAGATGAGCAACGGCGAGCTGTTCCGCCACGTCACAGACTCAGCAGAGCGAGATGTCCTTCTGGGGAATATAATGAAGGTCCGAGGAATCATCTGCAACTTTGAGCTGTTTGATGGAAACATGAAATATATGTCTATCGGCGCTAAAATCCTCAAGACAATCTTCACGCTGTCCATGACTGACAAGGCCACCGAGTTAGCTGATCGCACCGAAACCAGCATATCATACCGTCCTCCGCGATTTTTCGCTGAGGTTCAAGCTGAGCGTCCGACCCTGTACAGTTCGCTTCGCGAGCTCTGGGATGATTCGCGGTTGCCAGTCTCAGAATGCGAAGAAGGTGTTTATACTCGCCTGACTGGTCCACCGTGCGCCGAGGCGGCCTTCCTGGGCTTAATCCTACCCACGCTACGACACTTTCCTCGATTGAGTCGCGAAGCCCCTCTTTCGAATGTGGGCAGCAATGCAATCGCGGCGCGCGTCGATGATGCCTTTGTGCAGGCGCTTTGCCGCCGCGCAGATATATTAGGCTTTCGTCATAGTAGAATCGAACAAAGTAGACCGAATTCGCTATCTCAGTGGAGCGGCATTATGGCAGTTGATCAGCGGTCTATGAGTACGCCGGCGAATTGGCGATGCGGCAAGCCGTCTCTCGTGGCGTTGTTGGCCCTACAACACGACGGGTTCTGGGTTGCCAACCAGCCGGTAGGTTCTACAAGGAAAAATCTGACACCGTCTTTTGTCTTCCAAGACTTGATCACCTCTTTCTTCGGCACCTTGCGATGGGGCGTCGATGAGCGCGCGCCGCCGATGCACGTGAGCCTGGACGGTCACGTACGCCACCGCAGTGCTGGACCACAGCATCGCAATGGAAGCCGTTCTCCCACTGTCAACCTTCATTCTGATGAAATAACAATCAGGTCTGCGCGCTCTTCATCTCATGACGTGGAGATGGCTGATTGCCCACCACCGTTGACAGCAAAAAGGGCATTCGAACACGGGCGCTCTTCGTGGCCCGAGATAAAGATTCGAGACGCACCACGACGTCGTCATATCAAGCGGCCGCGTGACAATTTACAGAGACCCGGAATGCTACCAGATCATTCCACAGTGAACAGTAATGCTCGACCCAACAACCTCGACGAAACCCATCGCACATCATCATCGATGAGGGATCACCACGATTCATCTCGAGTCCGCTCCGGTACAGAAACTCCGCATCGCGGAACTCAGTGCCACCTTCTAATAATCTCGCGTCTCCGGAGTCAACGGACGAATATGGCACTGGTAAGGCGATCGTTCGTCAGACCACCCCGCTTGCAGCTTCGGCGCGCGACCAAGTCAGGCGGCCACGCCTCTACTCTTCAGAAAGCACAGACACAGAAGGGAATGATCCGGCTGCTATTGAAACGAAAGAAATGGGCCAGAGGAGCGACGTAGCACATACAATGGACTACGACAAGGAAAATTCGCCGCGGTCCATCACCAGCCCGGTCGGGTATCGCAGCCAGCCCAAGAGCACGAATTTGTGAGGTATGGATAGTCAAGAGCCAGATAAGGCAGAGAGCCATCCCCGACGCGCCCAAAGTCCGGAGACTGTAGCAGATACCCGAGTGTCGGGGCACAGCAACCGGCCCCAAACCTCAGCAAATGGTATGAGCATGATCATGAGCATGAGCATTGATGACTCGGGGCCTTCCGAGCGTAGCCCACGGATCTCGTCGCGTTCTGTGGCTGATTTCAATGAAGCACAGGATCATGGCGACAACGACATCCAGTACCAGTTGTTGAAGGATTTCGAAACCGTGCCCTTGACTCCAAGTCTGAGGGGGGATTCATTGGATAGCGTGAATGGACAGACAGCTTCCATCATTGTCTATTCGGTCAACAATAGCCCACCCACACCGTAGGAACAAAGCTTCCGGATACATCTCCGGTCATCACGCATATGAAGCTCTCTATTGAATGCGCCAGTCAATAGTATGAAGACCGGTGTATCAGCGTCAGCTACGTAGGCCGCACGCGCACTCGAGTGAGAAATGCGCGCGGAAGACAGCGGAAATACGGCAAAACTCCACCAGGCCAATGCAGCAGCAGCCATCGTCGGAGCTTTGCTACGGATAGCAATCATGCGATTACCCTGCTGCGTTCGTAATCTTGCTTCACGTAGCTTTCTGCTGCAATGAACTCCCAGGTGCAGTCGGGCTGCCCAAACAAGGGTCACTTGCTAAACCACCTACTGGCCAGCAGTTCCTCAAATCGTCGAGACGAGATCATCCAATGCAATCGGGTCGTGGCGGGCGGTGTATGCCTCAATTGCCGACAGTCGCCGTGGCGGCCGTTGTCCTGTGTTGTACTGTCCGACCTCCGCCAGCCTTGCGAGCGCATCTCTATCAACGAAATATGTTTAGCAAGCGAGAGCACGGTCCCGCAATGACCAGTCTGAGCTCCCCGAGCTTTAAGCTTGGGTAAGCCATGGCAAATAGGCCAGCGTTGTGGGTAACTAAGAGCCCATTCTTTCGTCTCTATAGGTGACACCAGTGACGTCGGAGCAAGGACCAAGCTTGAATCGGACGGACGGTGGAGGGAGTGGATGTTTTTTTAGGGGAGTTGAATGTAGGTGCTGTGATCGTACCTCGCCATGTTGTCGTCCTTTCATCTTTTCTCGTAGTTCGGATATTAGCTGGCTCCCTCCATCAATTGAAGAACACTTGGGATAGGTACGTTTGGAATCAATTTACCTCGTCTACGTCATGGCATGAGTCTCTATACTCATACTTGCATATGTTTTATAGCACCAAGAACGACATAGCAGAACCAAGGACTGAGGCTCGAAGAGGAAGAAACGGGCATAAAGATGAGTTTACTAGAGTGCGCAGCACTGGAGTGCGTAGATGATGACTCTGGGCCCGCTTCCATTCTTTTTTTTCGAACAACATATGACCTTGATAGCATGGTCGTCCCAAAAGCACCCGTCTCAACTATGCCGGGATCTTCCAGCCGTTCTTGGAGCAGAGTCAAGCTGAGCAAGACTATCTTGCGAAGCGTGTTACTGTGGGAGGTCACGTCGTCTAGGCAGAAAAGAGTAGACATGGCCGACGGAAAATGACTATGGCAGCTTCGAGGAAGTACTTCAGGACTTTCTAGACAAGAAGAAGCAAAGCAAGGACCTTGCACAGATGGGTAAGCTGTTTCCTGGCAAGCCTAAGGTACTGGAACTCGTCATACCGACTTGAGAAGTCAACATCCGTTTTGGGCAGTTGATCCACGCCCAACAAGAGTGCACCTGGGGGGCTAGCGGCAATAAAAGCCGGCCGGTGTGCCCGCGAAAAGGGGCATCGTCTCACTTCCTCGTTCACTTTACTCATACTCCTCGTCACCATCCCTTCTCGCCACTTCACTCTCACTCATCGTCACTCAACATTTCTTTGAACCTGTCCTACTACAATGTCTTCGGAAAGGACGCCAGGCTTTCATGACCAAAACGACCAATTCTGTCCCCCTCGAGCTTCTTCAGAGGATACAGTCGATGCCACAACCGATTCTCGCTATGAAAATGAGGGCAGTCGTGATGAACACATTTCGACCAACAGCATACGTTCGAGCGAGCACCAGGAGGTGTTTGTTTTAAAGCGCAAGCGACCCGGGCCAAACGGGTCGGACCGGTCATGCTCTCCGCGTGCGCAACGTCGACGAGTGAACGGCATCTCGGGCCCATCACTGTCCTCGCAGCCCCGACCTCTCAGTACCGAGGTGACCGAAGGCTTCATGTCGATTACTACGCATCCGAGCCCCAACGCGAACAGCTCCAGGTCTTTACTAGATGACAACAGTAAAGAAAGTCAAATCAATGACGGCGAATTGCAACCTCACTCCCTGAGGCCTGTGGCGGCCTGCCCCCGTCGCAGCTATAGTATAGCGGCGATCCTCAACGATGAATCAAGAGGTGGGAATACAGAACGACACGACCGGTCCCCAGACCAAAGAGATCACTCACCCAATGAGGATGGCAATCATCTTGGACGTGGTCTTAGAGGCGGCCAAGTTGAAGACGCCTCTGGAGAGCCCCAAGCCAACGATAACTTGGAGTTTCTGCCAACGTCTATCTCTACACGCCAACATCCTTCACCATACTTAACTTCGGGCCCTATGAGCCACCCAGCGCAGTCTAACCAAGGATTCCACAGGCCCGATCACGGCCCTGCTCTATTGGCTGCGTCAGACGATCCTCCATGCTTTACTCTCTCTAGCGTCGTGGCGATTCCTCGGGATAAGCGGACGACGGTTGCCTGCAACCGTTGTCGTAGGAGGAAGGTTAGTCCATTCCATACGGCCGCTCGACGCCTGGTCCCTTTTCTACACGGCTTCTCTAACTTGAAATTAGATTCGTTGTGAAGGGCTTCAGTCTGGGAGCGAAGAGGCATGTAAGAGGTGCAGGAAAGCGAACATCGAGTGTATCTTTGAACCGGCGTCCTCCAACAGCTTGATAGCCATTACCCTTCATCCTTCCAAGTCTGCTGGAGAACCGCTTGGAAGAACTATGTACTGGCCAAGTGCGCAGCCGCTTCCGTTCAGCTCGAAGGTTCTTCGTCAAGATGCTCAACAGCCGCATTCCTTGCGCAACGGGCCATCCTTGACTCCTGTAATCCCATACCCGCCGGCCCCTGATCGACCACTTGGCGATTCGATGCGCCGATCCCAAGAGTCCGACGAGGGAAGCAGAGGCTCTTCGCCATCACCGGGATCAACTGCTGCCGGTCAGTCCTTGCTGAGATCCCATACAACCTCAGACTCCCGTACGCATCAAACGTTTGTCTCACCCCGGTCTACAATTCCTGTCCTTCGCTCAGACTTGGAACTTTCTTAGGATCGACGACCTTGATAACGCCGCTTGTGGCACTGATGGGCCATCTTCTTGTCTTTATTGTCTGAAAACCATTGGCACAAAGAAAAACCTAGCGCGACACCTCCGTGAAGTCCATGGAGAGGGTGGGTTTGCTAGGAGTCGGTACATCTGTTCAGAGCCTGGATGCTCTCGCAGCCAACAAGACAACGGGTTTCCACGGCTTGAGCAAGCCCGACAACATTACCGGAACAACCATTCTTCTGAATCGCTCCCAAAACGCGAAAATGACGCAGGGCGGTACAAGAGCGGTGGAACCCGACCGGCGGCAGGGAGGATTGCAAGCCAGGACCAGTGTTAAGGGGCCGAGATGAATACCAGGAGCAGCAACGCATCACAACTAGGATCACTACAAAGACGGCGTCTTGCTTATTTCGGGGCGAGTAGGGACTAGATTTGGCCAGCCGATCCCACTCGAGAGTCGGATGTGCGGCTTCTGACGGCTTCTGAGCCGACCTTAGTCGAATCACCTGAATGGTACGTATGATGAGGCAGGCTAGCCACCACGAGAAATGTACACGCGAGAAGAGGTTTGTAGTACACGGAGGCTGAAGATGAAAACCATCACTCAATGAGGATTTCGCATATTGATGAGGAGTGAGAATTTCATCCCTGGAGCCGTGCAGGCTTCTTTTTTTTTTTTTTTTGGAATGGAACATGATATCTAGTCTATTCGCTAGCCTGCAAGGGCTGTGAACGTTCATCGCTAGCAAACCATCCGTACCGGCAATACGCACTCCAGCGTTAGGGCACTCCAGCGTCAGGGCACTCAAACGTAAGGGCGGTCAGGTAGATTTCTGTGAACGAGTACGAGCGCCGGGAAAGGCTCATCCTCAGTATTAAATCCCGAATTGACTTTGCACTGTGGAGTCTGTTTGCCCATGCACCACATCCTTCGCCGCGGCGCCCCAATCAGAAACAGAGCAACCAGTTTCAATGCTGAATCGAATGATGGGTCGTCATGTTCATATGGGAATAAGCTCGGTTCTGCTTAAACCTGGTTTCTAAATATTCCACAGCTTGGCACTCCGCAACCCCTTACTCGCAGCTAAGGTGCGATTCTGGTCAGGTTCACCATGCATGCCCAAAACCAGGACGGAGTAGAAACGCAGTTGACATTCGCGACTCCGAAATTGAATTCCAATGGGCGAGCCATCCTCACAGAAAGTATTTATTGAGGACCGCATCGGCCTTGTCACCAGTCGTGGCTCGTCCTTCTTCGAACAGGCGTACGAAACCCGACTTAAACTAAAGCCATGGGCCACTTTCGCGCTTTGATTGGATGTTCTATCCTCTTCACCAGCAACTATCCAGCGCCATCTGAGTGGTCCGAATTCAGTAGAATCAAACGTCATATCGAAGACCTTCACGGCGAATGTGTTTTTAAGTATGACGACCCGAAACTCACGCACCTAGTGACTTCGCAGAGTGAACTCTCCGATAAAGAAGGCTTTACGACGTGCATTCCCCACAGAGATTGGAAAGGCGTCCACATTGTCAGTTACGAGTGGCTGAAGGAGTGTCTCCGAGCCGGCAAAAGGAAAGAAGAAGGCCAATACAGATTGAAGGTGCCGGCGCGGATGGAAGATCCTGAATACAACTACTTTACCCACCGCCGATTGAAAAAGTCAAAGAATACGAAAACTTCCAGTCAAGGCTAGAAGCATACAAGTGAAACTCGCCGCTCGCTGCAGCAGCCTTTCATTCTTTCGTCCGCACCACCGTCCGAGCTCAGCGGGCTAGAGCGACTGAATCAGTTCGTATTGGTATCCAAATAGACCGATTGATTTCAACTATTGTTACTAAGTGCAGCACGTAGTCAAGGCTAGATGATGCAATGTTCCACGGGTGTCTTTAAGCGACGCCACTGTCCAGCATCGCTGTTTTGGTCCCTTTAATTACGCCTGGGATAGTTCCTAGCCCGGTAACATGTTTCTTCTGTTGCCTCAGCCCTGAGTGCCCGAGTGCGCCGGCATCGTGCAGAGTGGCGTGCCAATGGCCTGGTACTGTCGCTCACCACTGCGAGCGCTGACTATGACTCTGAGCATGTCTGCATTTCAGTGAGCTTTCTTGGCAGGGTCCTGCTTGATTTGATGCCAGTGAGTGAGGATCAGAGGCAAAGCAATGACCGAGTGCGGCTCAGGTTGTTCCCTCCGCGTATTGAAGTGGACCTGATTTGTGAAAAGAAGATGCAATGAATTGGCTGCCGACAGCCCGCCTGATGTGCCTTCTGTGCGACTTCGCTGTATGCCGTGGGAGGTCTCCCGGTGTGGTGACGAAACTGACGGGATCACAGATCTACTGCAACCCCCGCAGCTATCCTGCAGACAACGACTGTGGAGAACATATCATCACAGATTGAACATCAGAGCGCCTTGCGCCGTTTTACTATTGATTTGACCGTGCCAGTCTACTTTGCTGAAGTCAAGGCTGACATAGCATAGCCTGGACAATTAGAGTCCGATGGGTGCAACCAGCATTATTTGACAGCGGAGCAATAGACGCACCATTCGATCCTCATGCTCATGATCATGCTGATCTGGACGTGGATAACGACCTTCTGCAGACTGCCAGAAGAAGGCTGCTGTAGAGGTAGTCCAACCTGTGGTCAGGGGGCGACGACAGCCGTGGTCGCTGCCCTGCCTTAGGCTTAGGCGCCGACCAGGCGCCCAACATCCTTGGCACGACCAGGCGGCAACGCCAGCTAGATCTCGCTTCTCACTTCCAGACTCCCGGCCCCAGCCATGGAGATAAATCACCTGGTCCATCCACATTCGCCTCCGCATCAGCCAGCAATCGTCAATGCAGTCGCGATGGCCGTCGCACCTGGCAAACTGGGCCTCCGTTGCCCGGACCAAGGTCAGTTTTACGTTTGCGAAGCTAATTCGACGGAATTCGTCGGCTGCTGCCTTTCCGACCCCTGTGCCAATGGGTCTGGCCAGTGCCCAGAAGACGAGCTTGTCCCGTCGTCCTTCTCAGCCAATCAGTACGCTGCGATTCCAGCCCAGGACTGCGAAGACGCAAAAGGCGTGTCCGTGTGGTGGACATGCCGCGATATCACTCCGCCCTTTCTGGGATGCTGCACGCGGCGAGATCTTCTTCCGGCCAAATTGCATAGCAACAGAACGCACCGCCAACCATTTCTGTCCATCGATGCACCGCTGAGCTTGCCCTCAGTTCTACCTTCCATAACTTTCACGACGTCTTCGGCGGGGTAATACACAACATCTTCGACTCGACCATCCAGTCCGTCTCAGGAGGCACCTTCATCGGAGCCAAGTGCCAGGCACGTGTCTGCCTCACAGGTATCAACCAAGGTCCTGGTCGGGGCTGCTGTCGGTAGCGCTATATTTGTAGCAATTTGCGCTCTGGTTGTATGGCAGTGCGTCCGGCATATCCGGCGGGCGAAATCTCCTGCTGCGGAACCTCCTGTCCCCGTTGCTGACAACGTGGCCCGGTCCTGGCCCAAGGACGCAATGGAGCTATCAGCAGGGCCTGATACGGCGATCTCCCGTTAGCTAGACGTACGTTAACCAGAGGCCACACAGGTGCCATTGATATCTCAGTCATTGAAGTTGCACGTGGTCGTTTCCATGGGCCGCTCGTGCCCAATGCCGCTGGCAGATGATAATGGCAGCTGACGAGGATGTTCACGTATAGATGTCCTTGCAATAATATTCGATGTTCTTCCACTTTTGAAAGTGCGTGCATAAAAAAATCGTGCCTTCGTGCTTTCCACAGCATCGCGCGTTACGCAGCCGCCGAACAATGTGCTCGCACTGACTGACACAGCCTTGAGCCCTGTGTTCCTGGGGATTCCTGCTGACAATACAACGAGATCGTGCCAATCGAACATCTGATCCGCGAAAAGGCATTGAAAATCAGTTGCCAAAAGTCAAAATAAAACCAGCGCGCGGACCAGTCAGGGTCGCCATATCATAGTAGAGTGTCCTCCGCAGAGGTTCATCGTGACGGCCTTCCTTGAGGTGGATCAGCATCACCAGCCTTCAGACGGCTTCCGGAGAATTGCACTCAGAGTGCGTCCGCAATCGCCCCGATCGCTGTGACACCAGGCCTGACCACCAGCAACGAACGCCATGTCTGCGTCGCAGCTCTGGCTGAGTTTGGCTTCGGGCGCTCCTGGGCTGGGAGGCCCTTACCTTATAGAAACCCTGGCAGCATATGAAGAGCTGGATGCAGTAGGCCATGAAAAGCCGCAGTTTTTGATGGCTATTGGACGAACAACCAAGCGGCAGGTTTTTACTAAGTCTTTCCCCTTGCTCTCTGGCCGGGGACAATCAGGCGCTGTCACCCTCAGCACCCTTGGGTCACCACTGACATTTCTGATCGACTGCGAGCTCCATGCCTCTCGAGATGCTCCGCGTATCCAAGGGGGTCCGATCAAGGGCGACTATGCGAGGTATGAGATGAGATGCGCTGCAAATAGCCAGAAGGGGGTTGCCTACTCCCTCTATCATCAGCTGCTCGCGCCATTCAGCGCGGTCGTCCTTGTCTTCGTCGAGGATTTCAGCAGCACCTCCGAAGTCACAGATCTTCTCATCGACTGGCTTCGCTCAGCCATGAACAAATCCCCGCCATATAGTCCTAAGATCGTCCTGGTGACCGAGGCAGGCGCGTCCCTTCATCTGAGAGACTTTTTGTCACGCCTGGTGGCTAGAACTCTATCCTTACTCCGCCTCAGCGACCCCTTGCGAGCGTACACAGCTGCCGAGATCCGCGACATGATAGGATCATTTCTTCACCTCGAAACTATGGAAGCACAGGCAGGGACTACGTTTGCGACATCGTTGTCGTCCCTTGCCTTGCGTGCCTGCCGAGAGCGGCATCTCTCAGACATACACTTCTCCGCACTGCACTGGAAGACACTCGTCAGAGACGCCATGGCTCAATTCACAGAGTCTCCGTCTCTCCCACTCTCACTATGCCAACTCGCAAGGCGAGCCAACCCGTTGCCAGATGATCTGTCCGAGCAGCTAACCCGCTTCTTGCGAGCGACGGCGCTGGAAGGCATGGAACAAGCGGAGATCCTGGCATCCGCGCTCTCTATGAACGCTTATCCTCCAGGAATGCATGGTACGTTGATGCCCCGTGACGCTCCGCGATGCTGCATTATGCACAGGCTGGTTCTGATGAGTCATCAGGCTTCCCACCTGCCAAGGTCTATTCCGAACTGTATGAAGACAAGGTACGCCGTGCCGTGTCCGATCTTGAACCAGCCCGATGCGATCTTGCGCCACAAATTCGGGAGAGGTTCGTCGCCCTCGCGAGTCACAACTTGAAAATTTCGGTTGCCTTCGCTGCCGCGCATAAAGCTGTGTTGAGACGTGGGCAGGCATCGTGGTTGTCTGTCAAATCCCAAGACACATGTTTAGTCTGCGCGGTACACACCCCAACGAAGACACTAGACTGTAGGCATCGGCTTTGCAATGCATGCACGGTGATCTGCGGCGCGCTCGAGGGCCAAGGGACGATAGCCGTCCTACAATGCCCACTGTGCGGGCTCCCCAATGCTGCTTCATTCAAGCTGCGCCCTCCGACAGCGGGCATACGCGTCCTCGATCTGGGTGGTGTGGAGGCGGCAAAGACCATGGAGTTTCTCAGATCAATTCATCGCTCGATCAGTTTGATAGGCACCTCCTTGTCTGACAGTTTCGATGTGGTTTTGGCCTCAAACGTCGGTACGTTCTCCTGTGTGCGTTCTTCCGCTCGCGATCTCATTGTTGTAGGGATCTTCTTCGCGCTCGCCCTCTTTCTTGAGAAGTGGACGCTCGAGGACTGCAAACACCACCTGCGTCGACTCGTCCGCCCGAAACAGTCATGGATCAGATCGTGGAGCGGGACCATCAACTTCGGCAAAGCGTTGAAGTGGGAACTGCGAGACGTTCGGTCGGTAAACCAGCCTGCTCTCGTCATACACACCAAGAGAAAGCTGCTGTCAAATGCGATGGCGCAGTCTGAGGCCGACAGCACGTGAGTCCTGCGATTGTTACCAGGCTTGCCAAGCACTGACCATACGCTAGATCTCTGGTCGAACTCCAGCGTCAGTATGCGCGGAGATGTGATTGCTTGGTCCAATACAACGGTGGCCCTATCAGCCGAGTGCTCGTGAAGCAAATGGCCAACCAGCTGATCTCGAGCCTATTTTATATAGAGTTGGCGGCCACTCCCACCTTCTATCGATCGCCGCACGCCTGTGAGCTGGTCCTGCGTTGCCGTCTCGCCCCCGGCGCCGCGCTCTTTGGCCTACTACTGAGGCTGTGTCGGGGTCAGGCGCACTTCCTCTATCGCGGCGATGAGCTGGAGTACAAGAGGGTCAGAGTTTGCGAGGAGAACGACTTGAAGGCATACCAGAACTGGGCTGCTTATGAATGTCCACTCCAAGTGCGGGCTGTATCTCCAGCATGCAAAATTGACATCCAAATCGACGGTGACGGCATCGACAAAGGCCAGCACAACACCAGCCACTACATCAGTAACTGCCCGTACCAACTCGAAGACCTAGTACGCGATCAGGGTCTGCATCATTGCTTCGGCTCGCCCGATCACCGCCCCATCCGAGGGAGACCCATAATGTCAAAACAAGCCCAGCATAGCCCAAACCCTGCCGCACCAGGGAATACGGAGAAGGGCAGCATACTGCAACAGCTCAACGCGCTTCAATGCACTGTTGGACAAGTGATGCAGTCGCAGCAGCGATTCCAGGATGGATTGACGACAGAGAGTTGACCAGGAAGGAGTGAGCAACAGTGGCCCTATTCGCTGTGTTTCGTCGGCAATCTTTTGGCATGTAGTCCGACTGCAAGTGGCAAGAGCTCGGGCAATGGGGGGAGAATTGTCGTGAACAAGGGTGTGCACAGGAGAGGGGGCTTGGGTTGTAGCTTCCTGTTACAGAGCCCTTGCGTGGACCTGAGGCGCTCTGAACTGGGCAGAGACGAGCCGCCACTGTACGTTGAGGGCCGTGGCCATTCTTGGGAATGGTGTAGCGCAGAGGGAGTGATCGGCTACGTCGCTAGCTTCTGTCTGCTAGCCTACCAAGCGGTTGACACAAAAATCGAGACCTGGGTATCCACACCAACATTGGTAGGTACCTTAGGTACGAAAATCTACCTACCAACCTCTTATCTTACCCTCTATTAGAGACTCCAACAGAGTCGAAACGCCTCTTCTTAATGTAGGATATACCCTCTGTGTTAAGGAAACTAATTATACCATTGATTTTGGCTTTCTTTGGTGTGTCGTGGTGAGTTGGCATAGTGGAATTGGGACTGACTAGTGGATATCCAGGTCTCGATTTTTGTGTCAACCGCTTGCCTACGTTTAGGTGTTTCTGCTGGCTTACCAGCTTCTGCAGCCTTCAGGACAGTAGACTATCTCAGACGATGTACATGCATGCACAACGTGGGACTCGACAGTGTATCCCTAAATTAGTCGGACAGCACACCAGGAACGAATGTACGAATGTACGAATATAGACCTCCAGAGGACTGATGAAACTGGCTAGACCAATTGCTCACGGCCGAGGCGCATAAGTTGGTAGGGTCAATTGCCACGCTGGAGTCAGCAGCCCGGGCACATGACGGTAGGTCAGGTCACCTGCTTGGTCATTGGAGCGGCGCGGCTGGCCTCCTACATCGCTGATTCTGGAAAGTCGCAATCCGTCCCGAACCGTATAATATCGGTTTCGAATGATGACACAGTGTAATGCGAAAGACACCTTACCGAATTCCACATTCAACCGATGTTGTGGCAATCCAGACACCGACCGCGCCATCCTTGGCACGGCCCGGCGCCAACGCCAGCTAGATGGCGCCTCTCGTTTTCCAAGCCATCAGCCCGGTGCTGGCGTCCTGAACGGACCCACACACACCCAGACGCCGAAGCTGGGATCTGACCGAGCTCCACAGAGTACTTATATTCACCTTACGCCCCGTACCGGGTGTAAGAATTGCGCTTACAACACCCACAGGAAAGCTCCAAAACCGTGGAAAAATGACTACCGGCCGATCAACAGGTTGTACATCGCTTCAGGGATTCAGGAATTCAGGGGCCCTGCACAACAGCAGGGTGGGTCTCCGAGCAACGACTGAACCGGTATACAAAGTACTTGTCATCACCTTACGCCCCGTACCGTCTCTAAGTTGACGCTGTTGACAAGCTTGTGTTTGGGAGGGTGATCTGCTCTAGTAGTTGGTCCAAGTACCTGATTTTTGACAGGCGCAAGTACTACGGCTACTGGGGCTGCAAGTTCATCCAGACGAGGCGGGGTTCGAGGTCGGTGCGCGTCGCCCGTGCCGCCTCTGGCCTCGGATTGCGACGTCAAGCTGTCTCGACATCCAAATCGACCTTTTAAATCCCGGCACACACTCTCAAGAGTCCTGATTTTGATACCCTTGTCAAGACAAGCGGACGCATACAACATGCACTGCGTCCTTCCACAGACTCCCCCTGAAGTCATATGTCCTTGCCCTCTGCCCCCGATCATTCGCCGTCTTGCGTGGGCTCGAAGGAAACAGCATTATGAGTATGTACATTTGAGCCTAAATCTAATAAGCGCTGGATTTATTATAATGTCGCGTCCGAAAAGCCGTCAGCCGTCAGACTTCTCCATGGTCCACGGCCCGCGTGCACTTGCCTGCTAGTAAAAGAAGTCCGCACCCCCCATTACGCTATACAGGGTTCGTCCGTCCTATTACGCATGTCCTCAGCGCGGATATCATGGCAGTACGACAAGACACCATCGCCATAACGCTCATGGCCGTTACACT